TATTTTAACGTTTCTTACTTTCTAGTTTTTCTCATTCTTTAACCTATATTTTTTTAATGTTTTTTATTTCTTATTGTTGCTTTTCTTTTCTTTCTTCTTTCCCTCTTTCTCTTCGTCACGTCTTTAAAGTTTCTTATTTCTGCTTCTCTAAATACGCTGTCGTTCATTTTATCTTCTTCTACTTCTCTATAATCCTCTTCAAAGACACGTTCGCATCCTTCGTAATCTTCTTTAAATGCAATTTTTCTTCTTGCTGTTGGTTTTCGTTTTCATATGCATTCTTTTTACATCCTCCTTATTCTTCTTCTTCTTCATTTTGGTCTTCAAATGTCCTTTCTTTATCCCTCTTATTCTCCCACTTCTTCAAATATATTTCTTCTTCAACTTCGTCTTCAAATGAACTTTCTTTCTCTTATCCTCCTTATCGTTATTTTCTTCTTCTTGTATATTTTCGATATCATGAAAATCTTGTCAAATTTCCAGCTATTATATTTTCCATCTATCAGACTCCAGTAATGTCGATGTCATGTTAGGTTCAACCCCAGATCGAACCCTTACTTTAAGTCATCTTCCTTCTCAGTAGTGCAATGTCAATTACCCCCATTTTCAAACAAATTATAACGACACTTATAAATCAAGTACTACTTAAAATACGTTTCTTTCCTTTAATTTTAAATCGTACAATACTGATGGTGACTCAGTTGAGTCGTAAACTTAGATACAGTTTGAATTTTGGATATTTTTTTACTCCCGCGGTAGCAAAATTGTTGAAGTTGATTTGTAGTTTCAAAAACATATTGCTATATTTGCCAATCATTTTTCCAGATCAATGTAGAATTTGTTTCGGAGAGAAACAATGTATTAAACGATATCGTGTCCTTGCATCGATGCAAGAAGAATTCTTTTTTGTGATGTCATTGAACACTCGTTGTCATTTTTGTGATGTCAACGAATACTCGTTGTCACTTTCGTAAGTCTCGTTGTAGTTTGTTATGATGTTGATTTGGGGTTAGTAGAGACAAACGCCAAATAACACGTAACAATAAAAAGGGTTTTAATTGGTTGGTAAAAATGTACAGAAATCGCCTGAGTAGTCAATATCTAGCTCAGCTAAGAACTTCTCTGTCTATTTATCTTCCCCATGTCAACTGACATGCCACTATTTAAAGTCTTTGTTCACAGACGCAGACAAGTTCATCTTCAAGAGGGGTGGTAGGATTCCGACACAACAAGTTGAAACGTTGTAATCGCAGATGCAACTATAGTACGCCTTTGAACAATACTGATATCAGGCGCCTTCGAATAGTACTCGCACTAATAGTACTTGCTTGAGGATACTCGCTCGAATAATGTTATGGTCCAGGTTAGGACCAAGGAAGAACAACACGAACACAAGAGTAGAAATAACGAAGGTATATTACACGAAATAATAATACAAGATGTGGAAGGTGTTAGTATGACTGTCAGTCTGGTTTGGAGTGAACTACTATCGGCTGTTTTTCGATTCGTAATGCTAAGAATTGAGAGGCGTAGTATACATAGTGTTAGGAAGAGTTCATTCTGTAGTTATAGGTAATTTAAATGACAAATAGTAACCTGTATGTATGCTGTATAGAGAAATAATATAGTGAAAAAAAATTTAAACAATAGTAGTATAAAATATAATAGAAATAGACTAGAAATGCTTAAAAATTCAGACGTCACGTTTTTTTTAAAAATGAATTTTAGTTTTAGTTTTTCACAATGGTTATTTATGCAATAATGGGATACCCTGTGTTTCTTCAATGTGATCTCTATTCAATATTGATTTCTGATTTAAAGATGTCTAATTATCATTAAAAGAATATATTCGTTTTATATAACAATAACCGACTGAAATTGATATTTCGTCAGATTTTCGTGAAACTAGCATAATATTTAAAGAAGGTCCGTATAGTAATAGAGGATAGAATAGAAATGGTGAATCCGAATAGTAATAGAAGATAGAATTTAAATAATATTTCGTTAGTCGTCATTTATACTTTCCATATATGCGTTTCCTCTATGGTCACGTGGTGTACTTAATTTAATAAATGGGACCGCCTACATTTTGCTCACTTTATGACGATCTATGTTAAAAAAATGTCGGCAGCTTAGGACATTTGATTGATTTAAAATTTTGCAACCGGGATAGATGCAATTATGTTATCCAATAATAAAAAATAAAAAAAAATATATAAAATCTGTCGTTTCCAAATGTTTTTATTCATATTTAGATCATTAACATTTCTTTTTTATAAATGGAATTTATTAAACCTTTCTTTGCCATAATAAATTTTAGAAATTTAATTCATATTTATTTTTGATAAGGTTTTCATTCCATTTCAAAGATAACAAAATAAAATGTCATATAAGAATAGAATTAATGCATATTTAAACTGAATAAATTTCCGTTCTCTTTTGTGGTGTAAATGAGACTGAAAATAAGTGTGAGAACATTCACCCAAAGGAAAAAGAAACGAAAGAATTATTAAAAATAAACATAATCTTTGCTGAAAGAATTTTAAAATCTTTTTTATTTCAATTTCATTTCTTTTTTCGATCCAGAGAAAACTCAAGATTAAATGATTTTTAAGAAGTTTAAATTTAATTTAGATCAAAATTTGAATCGAAAAAAATTCTAGTGGATTTAAACAAGGTCAGAAAAATGTCAAAATATAATGTTATTATTAAAAAGTTAAAGATTTTAACCAATTAAATGAAAGATTTCCTGGAATAATAGAAAAGGGAAATTTAGATAAAAAAATCAGTTTTTTGATTTATTTTTCAATGCATTGGATTGTATTGGAAATATTGTAAATTGACAATGATAATATACATATATGGAAAGATAATAAAATTATCAATTGAATAAAAATTTTAATGGAAATTTTAATATGAATGAACAAAAGATAATTCTTTATTTTTTTTTTTTTATTAAAAATTTTTGTCCATTTTTTGTTTGAGAAGTCATTAATTTTATAGTAAATGAATGATTTCAAATTCGTTATGATAATTAAAAAGACTTTTAGTTAAAAGAAAAATTTTGTAAAATTTAAGACAGATTTTTTTTTTTTTAAAGCCTTTTTTTTTTTTAGATATAAACCGGACAATAAATATTATAAATATATTTAAAAAAAAAAAAAATAACATTTTTTTATGATTACCTTTTTTTTTCTGAAAACAACTTTAAATTTATCTAATTTTTTTCAAACAATTTGGGTTTATGTAGATATAAGGTATTTTATATAATCATTAATTTTTTTATCGTTTTATCAATTTTGTAAAAAAAAAAACAAAAAAAATAAAAAGATAGATATATATTAATTATCATATAATTGTGTCAGAAATATAACCATTAATTTTTTTTGGGAAATTTAAAATTTTTGGACATTCATATCCATTTAAGTAATAATCACCCAGAGAAAATGTTCAAAAAAATTTATTCATTATCTTAAATTTTTTTTCCTCGTTAAATTTTTTAAAAATTTTGCCTGGCGAATTCCAGAATTTTTATAATTTATCTTTCATTTTGGACTTCAAAAAAAATGCAAAATTAAGAATAAATGTTTAATGGATTCTTTTCTTTTTAGCAAATAAGAACATCATAATTAATTTGTTTCAGTTTTTTTTAATTTATTGGAAATTTTTTTCATTTATATTCAGCTCAACTTTTTAACTGATTTTTAGGTCGTCAATAAAATATTATTTAAATATTAAATTTTGAATAATTATTTTTCTCTTTAATATAGCAATTATAAGAGTTTAAATAGTTAAATTTTGATTTTTCTTAAATTTTTTAAAAAATTTTGCTGAATTTTTTTTAATTAAATAGAAAAAAACCAATATGTCCATCATCATTTCTGAACATGATTTTTCTACTGTGCTTTTAAAAGAAAATATATATATAAAATCTAAAAACTAATATAAATTTTTGTTATTACAGTGGCTTTCTGAGCATAAATGTACATAATTATTATTATCTTTCATAAACCTGCAAGTTTATTTCCTATCACCAGTCATATTTATAGATTCTAATCATCAAATTTGATGATTTTCCTTTAACCTGGCTGATCAATTTTCTGATAAGTTTAATTCTTTGACATTTTATATTTAGGCAGTTAAAAAAAAATATAGAGGTTTTTAATTTTCAGAAAAATATAGTCATTAGTTTTATAAGGCTTCAATTCCGTTAGCAATTCTTTGCTTCTAAAAAATTAGATTTTGTTGTTCAATATCTTTTTAATTTTCTGGTCTCAATACCTAAAATGTCAAAATTCTTTTCGCATTTTAAAGAAAGCATTTTTGACAGAAAAATTAAAGTTGAATTTCCTCGCCATTTTTTTGTTTTTAAATGTATAGAAAAAATTTTTTAAATTTGATTTTTTTATTTTGATTTTTTTCAAGCAGATAAATGTTTTTAATGAATATCTTTTTAAACGTTAAAAAAAATCAAAATTCAAGGATCTATTTTTGAAAATTGGAAAAAATTCGCAATAAGAACATAAAAAATTTCATTAATATTTGTTTAATATTTAATATTTTTATTCCGTGTCTAAAAATTTTGACCTTTTCAATTATAAATTGAAGAAATCGTTTGGTGTAATGTGGCACCATGCATCCTGACGATTTGAAAGAAATATTTATAGATATATGATTTGCTTTTTTTACGGTTTATCAACCATTTGAGGATTATTTAAGGCCAAAAAAAAATATTTTAGGTTTTAAGAATAATTCTTTCTTTTTTTTTCAAGCGACTTGGGAATTTATTTGAAAAAAGAAAAAGAAAAAGAAAAAAAAAAAGTCGGGACGAGACGGGTCATAGGCGAACACACACACACACACGGCTTAAAAGACGGAAAAGGTAAGGAAAAAAGCAGTTTATTTGTTGATAGATATCAATGTCGAAAAATATCTAGGTCACCTACGAACAAGCGTTGACCGATTTCCGCTTGTTTAAAAAATGGAATTTTGTTATCAATAGATGTCACCAAAAGAAGAAATCCATTTGAAAACATTGATTTTGATAATTGACAAAGACAGTGTAGCTCCAGAGCCTTAGCTGGATATGGAAAAAAAAATCCCACACAAGTAGTTTTCACTGGCTAATTTTTTTTTTTTTTGACAGAATAAACTTTTGCCCTGCGATAATAAAAAATTTTGTTATCAACACATGAGCCGAAAAGGAAAATGAAATATTTTTATTTTGCTTTGGAGACGCCAAACTGGCTGAAAACTTGGAGAAAATTTCTTTCTTAGACCATGTCCAATAAGCGATAAATTGCTTGATAAACTGCTTGACAAACGCCACGTTAAAAAACCAAAGAGTTGTGTCCATCAACCGCTCATGATAAGGGCGATTTAATTAATTTTTTTTAGTTAAGCAAGGTATTTTTTCCCAAAACAAAGCCACGGGTTGTTCACGCCCGACTAAGACGTCATTGGCCAAGTGGGATCACATGACGCACGAAGGAGGAGGAAAGATACCCGACCAGGACCTCATTGGCCGAGAGTG